CTGAGGCAGGCAGCCCCCTTCATTCCGTCTTCAGGACACCAGGCCCAGGGGTGGCTCCCATCCCACCTGCTCCTCTGGGCCTTCGAAGCCAGGCATCATTGGCTGGACATCTCCTTTCCTTGCAAGGAAGGAGTCTGCCTTTCCCCTGCAGGCTGCTGGCACCTTTGAAGGTCCACAGAAGCCTCGTCTACAAAGCCTGAAAGAGCCCCAGCCCTTGGGCAGGCTGAACACGCAGTGTCTGTAGCCCCATTGTCTTGTCATGGGGAGCTGAGAGGGGGCACCGAAGGCCACCAAAGGTTGGCTCTGCTCTCCTAGAACCCCAGCTTCTCTTCCAGTAGAGTCAGCAGGTGGGGGAGAGGGCAGAAAGAAAAGCCAAGCTGGTAGCCCTAGGGAAGGGGCAAGGGGCTTTGGGACATTTATTTACAAGGGCCCAGGCTGGACCCACGTAGGGAAGAAGTCACAGACCATCAGGTAGTGAAGACAGCAGGATGCAGAGACGCAATCATTGGCCTAGCAGCCAAGGGGAACACACAGGCACTCACACACACGTGCATTCACACGTGCACTCACCTGCACACACACATACACATGAGCACTCATACACACATGCTCGTGCACATGAATGCACTCACACATAAGTGCACACTTGTGCACACATGTGCACATATACACACACAGGTGTACTTACAAATGCACCCACATTCATACCCTTTTGCACTGGTGCACACACAGGCGCTCACACACAGGCATGCTAACACACGCAGACTCACACATGTATGCACGCTGCACTTACACACATGTGCACTCACATATACATTCGCACGTGCATACACACAGGTTCTAATCTCAGGAAACTGGTCCAATTCAGGAGGTTCAAGCCCCGCATAACTACATCTCTCCACGAAGTTTCTCCAGACCCCCATATAACCTCCCAGAGCCCCAGGCTGTGTGCCCCACAGCCAGCACCTGGCAGCCTGCAAAGTCTCAGAGTTGGGTGCTTCTGGGCAAGGCCGAGCTGGCCTCCCAGCTCTGGCTGCAGGACAGGAAAGCCCTAGGTCTAGAAGAGGTCAGGAGTGGCCTAACAGCTCCCAACCACAGCACCCATCTCCCCACACCCTGAATTCGGTGGAGGCAGGATCATAGACAGGCCGGGGCCCCACAGGGCCATGAGAAGGAGCAGACACTGGGAGAGAGCCACGGAACGCAGGGCCCAAGGGAGAGAGTCCTGGTGGACATGGTTTTGGGATGAGGGGTCATGCAGCATGGGAATCCTCTATGTGGCAGACCTGGGCCCCCTCGAGGGCTTGGGAGAGGAGCTGTAGAAGAGAGGGGCCGCCTAAGGTTGTGTTCTCCCCACCCCGGCCTTCCCTAGAAAGATCTGTCTCTGTGTGGCCCAGACCACCCCCATCGGGAAAGGAAAGCCCCCAGGTCAGGAAATGGACTGACCCAGCTGGGGGTGAGGGACAGGGGGCATAGGTTGATGGCCTACAGGAAATAGGAGCCCCATCACCCTCCCTCCCACCACGGCAGCAGGGTGGGCCCAGAGAATGACTCAGAAGCGGGTGCTCTGGTAGCGCAGCCGCCGCAGGTCTGCGAGGCCCTCATTCCGGCCATACACCTCCCTACAGGGACTCTCGGCCAGTCACCGGGCCCCAGCCCCACCACCCCCACCACTGCTGCTGCCGCTGCCACTGCTGCTGCCGCTGCTGGAGCTGCCACTGCTGCACCGGTCCTCGTAGATGGAGATCTCAATCTGCACGGCGGTTAAGGAGAGCTGCTGCTGAGCAGGGTTCGGACGTGAACCAGTGGATGGAGGCCGCCAGGGGAATGGGAACGTGGGCTTGTGCTGCTGCCTAGACAGTAAGGCTGTGGAGGGCTGGGAGCTAGACCCCTCCCCAAGCCCATCCATGCACATTACTTAGCTAACAATTAGGGAGACTTGTAAGGCCAGCCCCTGTGCTAGGCACACAGCCGTGATCACAGCAGACAGGGTCACTGCCCTGATGGAGCTTACATTCCAGTGGGTTTAATGACCATATCTCAGGACACAGATGTGCCCAGGGAGGTGGTGTTACTGCACAGGAAGTATGAGAAGAACTTCAGTGTCCTGAGTTCAAATCCTGACCCAGGCACTCACAAAGCTACGTGACCTTACACCAGTCACCTAACTTGTTAGCCATCAATTATTGCATCTGCAAAATAGGGATTAGGAATAGAATCTTGGGGTTAGTGGGGAGAGGAGATGAAACGTATATAAAGTGCTTAGCACAAAACCTGGCATATAGTAAAGGCTCAATAAAAACAAGTGCCTCTCACTGGGCTTTGTCAACATGTGACTCTGGGTGTCTGTGGTTTTTTGACTCTGTTTCTCCTCAGTTTTCCAGTAAACTTTATTTTTTAGCAATTCTACTCGTGTTGCTGCTGCCTGGGGGGAGGGATGTGTGCACACCCAGGTCACACTATTCCAGGTGGAGGTGGGGTCCACAGAACTGAGCCCCACACCTGTCTAGCCTCCCACCAGGACTGAGACCCTGGGGGAGTCACCTCATCCTAGACCTCATGTCTCTCATCTGCGAAAGCAGGACAGTGGGACCTGCCAGGGGAAATTCCATGAGTATTCCATGAGACTGTGGACCTGTAAATGAATGCGGTGATTTGTATATTCCTGGAGGGGTCTTTGTGGTTAAGGGTGAGCCTGGGCACAAGTCCTGGCTCCCACATTCACCAGCTGCACAACTCTGAGCAGGTTGCTTGGAATAATCAGAGCAACCCATCCCGTAAGATTATGAGAAGTACATGAATTCATATTTTCAAAGCACTTCACATGGTGTCTGGCATATTCTAAGCACTGATTACATGCAACCCACCAAGTGCAAAACCTAAAACTCAAAAGCCTCCAGTAACGTACAGTGGCAGAGGAGGGCTGAGGACCATTGCTGTGAGGGATCCTGGGAAAACCTTGAATGGAGGCCCCGTTTCCTGGCAGCCTCACCAGGATCTCTACTAGTTGGCAGTCCTGTGCCCTCACACAGAACAGCCCGGAAGGATACAACCCTCATCCCACGCTCCACAGGGTCTGTAAGTAGGAGGCCTCGAGGTGCAAAGATCTTCTCATTCTGCTCCTGGATATAGCGGGAAATTTTCTTGAGAACCTGCAAAAAGAGGAGCCAGACAAGGATGAGCAGCCCTGAGGGAGGGGACGCATGGTGGGGCGGGGGGTGGGGGCACCTTCTCGTAGTGGGTCTCCATGCAGAGGAAGATGAAGTAGGCTGTGGCGCAGGCTAGGCAGCCCTCGAGGTAGGAGCTGCCCCCAATCTTCTCAGCCTCTGCATAAAAGCCATTGAGGGTCTTCACAGTCTCCTCGAAGAGCTGCCGCTCGATCTAGAGAAGGGGACAGAGCCAGGCTGTGGTTAGTCTCCCTGGAGTGTGCACAGTCACGGGGGGGCTGGGGGTGACAGTGGTGGGGCCATGTAGATGGGGGAGATGACACTGGCACACAGGCAAGACCAAAGAGGCTGCAGGCACAGCAGAAAGAGCACTAGCCTGGGAGTCAGGAGACTGGGGGCCCAGTCCAGACTTGGCCATCAGCTGGCTGCATGACCTGGAACTAACAGCTTAACTGTCTAGGCCTCAGTTTCCTCATCTATAAAATGAGAATAAGAATGGCTGCTTATCCTCCCTTGGAAACAGAAAATTCCCATGATATCCTAGGTGTTTTCTGCGGGAAATCAGACAAGTATTCTAGTGACTTTGACACGTCCCATCTTGCTGGTTGTGAGAGAACTCAGGACTAAATTCATAGGATCTCTCCATGTTTGAATGGGACTGCATGAGACTGCTTCAGTGAGACCTCAGGGGCTTCCTGGGCATCTCTCCAGGAAGGAGCATTTCCTTCTAGCTCAGAGGTCACCCACAACGCCACAGGCCTGTGTGTTTGGACACCTAAGAAGCTGTTCTGCCTGCATCCATAATAGGAATAGCTAATATGTAGTAAACACTTTCTATGTGCCAGGAAATGCATTCTTTCATTTAACTCTCACAATAAGTCTATGAGAAAAGTGCTACTGTCATCCCATTTTACAGGCGAGAGCTGCTCTATGGTCCTAAGGCCACACGGACTGCTCTGTGGTTCCAGCCACCACCGTCTCTAGCCCCTTCACTGGCCTCCCTGCCCCTGCCCTAACTTCCTGTTAAAGTCACATTATGTCATAGCTGTGATCAAAAGCTCCCACCATCTTTCCATCTGTCTATAAGTAAAATCCAAAAAGTCCTTACAGTGCCCACTAGGCCCTCCATGGCCTGGACCTGCTACCCCTGGGCCCATCTCCTCCTCTCCTCCTCACTCAGTCCCCTGCTTCTTGAAATTGCCTCAGACCCTTTGTGTCTATCTCCTTAGCTGCCACACCTTCCCCTGCAGGCTGCCATGATACCCTTGACACCCTCGGGTCTCACCTGTGCCCTGGATCATCCACCTCTCCCCAGCACACCCGACCCCCCGACATCCTCCCCTTATTCTCCTAGTATTTGTTACCTCCTGAGCTAGGTATATTTACAGTTGACCCTTGAACAACACAGCTTTGAACTGTGTGGGTCCATGTGTATGTGAATATTCTTCTTCCTCTGCCACAACTGGGACAGCAAGACCAACCCATCCTCTTCCTCCTCTTCATGAACCTACTCAACATGAAGATGACGAGGATGAACACCTTTATGGTGATCCACTTCCACTTAATGAGTAGTAAATATATTTTCTTCTCCTTATGATTTTCTTAACATTTTCTTTCCTCTAGCTTACTTTATTGTAAGAATACAGTATATAATATACATAACATGCAAAATACGTGTTAATAAACTGTGTTATCAGAAGGCTTCCAGTCAACAGTAGGCTACTAATAGTTAAGTTTTTAGAGAGCCAAAGGTTATATCCAAATTTTTGACGTGCAAGGGATAGGCACCCCAAACCCATGTTGTTCGAGGGTCAACGGTATTTGGTTGCTGTTTTTATTTTCTATACCACCTAAGAGAAAATAAATGCCATGAGTCTACTCCTATATCTCTAGAGTCTAATACATATTCAATAAATACTTAGTGGATGCTAAGTGCTCATTAAATACTTAGTGAATGCTAAGTGCTCATTAAATACTTAGTGAATGCTAAGTGCTCATTAAATACTTAGTGAATGGTAAGTGAACTTGTCCAAGGTTACAGCTCTGACCCCAGAGTCTGTGCTCTTCACAGGGTAACTTCAGAGACCCTGGGAAGGTCACATTCCAAACTCAGCAGGTGTCAAAGTGTCAAAATAGTAGCCCTATTTTTCACATTCTTTACAGTACCTTCTTCCTCACTTGTGCAGCAGGACCAGAACTGCTCACACAGTTTAGGGACCTCTCCGCCTCTCTAGAATGAAAGCTCTGTCCAAGAATAGTTAGAGGTTTAGGAGTTCCCAGCCACTGCCCCTACACAAACCTGTGGAGAACTCATAGAGAAAATCCAACCCATCTAGTCCATGCCACGAGCCCTGCTGCTCCAGGCTGGGGGCCACCCTGCCCTAAAGGACAAGCATGCTAAGGTGTGAAAGAGATCCACATTCTCTCTAAAAGCTGGCCTGGGGTCATATCAGTACAGACCATCCCTGCCCCACTTCCCAAACCCATTCAGATCTGCCTAGGCTGCTGGAATGGAAGGTCAGAATCAGCCTTCTGGTCTCCCCAATCCCAGGCCCACTCCAGGGCAGCCTAGGATGAAAGCCACAGACACCCCTGGACCGGTAGCAAAACTCAGCAGCTGATGCCTCACAGCAGCCTGAGGTCCATGAGTCACCCAACTATCTGAGTCTAGAGGCAGGGCTGTGGGCAGAGCCCTTGGCTGACTGCCTTTGATGCCACCCAGCACAGACTGTGGGAGGGAGCATCCAGCTCTCCTCTTCACCCCAAGCAGGAGAAGGGAAAAGCGGCCTGCAGCTCTTCCTTTAGGGTCTCTAAACTTTCCCTGCAAGACTGTGATCATGAAGGCATCTAGTTTGATCTATACCCATGAAAGACGCAATTGCATCCACAAGAAAATAAGAGTCCTGTGAAAAAGCAGAGAGGCAGGGCATTTAAGCCTGTCTGGTGCTAACTCCGGTATGTCACTTCCTATTTCTGGCGCTTGGTTTCCTCTGCTAAATGAGATGGATGGACTAGTGTGGAGCTTCTCAAAATTGCGTGCTGAGTAACCCAGGGAATAGGTTAAAATCCAGATTCAAATTCAGTAGATGCAGGGAGGGACCCAAGATTCTGCATTTCTATCAAGCTCCCAGGTAATGCTAATATTGTTGATCCACAGGCCACAGTTTTAGTAACAAGGACTTAATGGTTCTCAGCTCCAGCTGCACACTGAGATTATCTGAGCAGCCTTTAAAGCCTATGAGGTCCAAGTCTCCCCTACCAGGAGATTCTGAGTCAATGGTCTAGGAAAGGGGAGGATGGATCAGAGCAGCAAAGACCACCACTACCCAAGCTGACACCTGCAAGTTTCCTTTTTCAAAGTTTCCAGTGCCTCTAAGGTACAGCCAAGGATGAGAAGAAGCACTGTTCCAGAAGACCAGAAATTCTCCAAGTATAATCTATGAACCACTTGATTCTGATTCATAATGGGAATTCCTCATTAAAAAGTAGGGCTTAAGACCTAGTATTTGCGCTGGGCATGGTGGCTCACACCTGTAATCCCAGCACTTTGAGAGGCTGAGGAGGGCAGATCACTTGAGTCCAGGAGTTTGAGACCAGCCTGGGCAACATGGCAAAACCCCATCTCTACTAAAAATACAAAAAATTAGCCAGGTATGGTGACACCCACCTGTAATCCCAGCTACCTGGGAGGCCAAGGCAGGAAGATCACCTGAGCTGGGAGACAGAGGCTGCAGTAAGCTGTGATCACACCACTGCACTCCATGCTGGGTTTCCATCAAGAAAAAAAAACCCAGTATTTGATAACACGACAGGGTGACTGTAGTCAATAATAATTTAATTGTACATTTTAAAATAACTAAAAGAGTATACTTGGATTGTTTGTAACACATAAACGTTTGAAGTAATAGATACCCCATTTGCCCTGATGTGACTATTACACATGGCATGCCTATATCAAAATATCTCAGGTACCCCATAAATATATACACCTGCTATGTACCCACAAAATTATAAATACATATTAAAGTTTAAACAATCATGATTAAAATTAATTTTAAAATTATGCTGATTCCAGACCCCCACCCTAGAGAGTCTAATGTAATTGCTTTGGGCTGTGACCTGAGCATCAGGATTTTTTTAAGCTCCCCAGAAACCTCTAACATACAGCCAAGGTTGAGAACAGCTGCTAATAAATGGAGATTCCTGAGCCACAATCCAACAACTGAATCAGTACCACTGGAGAACACAAGTATCACCCAGTAGGGCTCAGGAATTTCCATTTGTTTAACAAACTCTCTACATAATTCCTAGGCAACTGAAACTTGAGGGCTGCCGGACCAGAAAATCCCTGAGACCCCTTCAGCTGTAACTTTCTATGAGGAGACAGTAATACAATGTTAACAACTTTTTAAATTCATCCTTTTAAAGTGGCTGAACAGTTTATGTGTCCTATGATATTATGGGTCATATGATCCCGGAAATAATACATTCCAATAAGAACCTCAGCTCCATCACAGCCCTGGGTTCCAAGGGTAAAAAAAGGCATCCTTACCCGGCTGTCCAGCTCTGGGGGAAACTTGGTCTGGAACTGACAGATGGTCCCATCACTATAGTCTCTCTGGATAAAGACCTTAGTGGCCAGTGAGGCACTTCGCCGGAGCTCCTGGAGATTGTGGACCTGAAGAGACATAGGGGCAGCATGCACTGAGAGTGATCATCCATCTCGGCATCTCCCAAATGCAGGGATTTCCCAGAATGCGGGTTCTTCCAGCACTAACACCAGGAAAGTCCCCAGCATGCAGGGACAAACTGGGCATGCTACAGGTGCTCCAGGAGGCCATGGGAGGCAGGGTTGTGGGGTCTACCCAAGGAGTTGCCCTGAGCTATCCCAGAAAGATCTTTTAACAGCCAGGCAGGGCATAGTGACTCATGCCTGTAATCTCAGCACTTTGGGAGGCTGAGGTGGGAGGATTCTGGACCCCAGGAGTTAAAGGCTTTAATGAGCTGTGATTGCACCACTGCACTCCAGCCTGGATGATAAAGCAAGACCCTGACTCTAAAAAATGTTTTAACAAGCCTAAAGCAGGGCCAAAGTTGAGCCAAAATGAGAAGTTCTGGAACCAACATATTTTAACAAAAGGAATAAGACCTCCTGGTGGCAGATCCAGTCACTCCCTCCCCCATTCTCCCTCTCTCACACACACATGCATGCACGCATGCACACACACACACAGCAGAACTTTTCATACTTTCATTCATTCGCCAAGTACCAAGTGTTCACAACTTGTGAGGCCCTGTGCCTGGGGAATGCAGTACTGAACAAGACCGATGCCCCAGCTGTGCCGAGTGAACTCACAACAGAGTTGAGGGCAGGGAACATGTGAGACAGAGGAATACTGATGCACCCCTAAACTCAGAGACTGGCGTCCAGGCCAAGTTTTATGGCCCCAGCCAGAGGCTATCTCAGATGCTTTTCACATCCAGCACTTCTCCCCACAGGAAACAAAGGGTCCATGAATGTCCAAACTTCCCCAGAGGATAGTGGGGACAGAGGCCAGAAATGAAAGAAATAGCCTTCCCTAACAGGAAGGAGAGGGGCAATTTCTGTCCCTTGTGCACACCTGGGACAGAAATTGACATTGACACAGACTCTAGCGTTTGAGGGGACTTGGCTCAATTCCACAGAACAAGGCCACTTTTTCCACCTCTCCAGCCTCAGTCACCCACATTCAAGACAAGCATCCCACCGGTTGAAATATGCCCAACATTGAGACCACGTGGAGACCAAGCCCCAAAGGCAGAGTGAACAACAGCCAGTTCATCCCATGTAATTAAGCTGGATCCATTCAGTCACTCAGCTCTCATTTATTGAGTCTCTCCCAGTGCCAAGCTCTGGGAGAGCTGAGCTAAAGAGTCTGTGAGCTCCAGGGAGGAAGACAAGTAAATATATAACGAATTAGACAGTGACAAATGCCACAGAGAAGTAACATCTTACCCAGAAATCCTCACTCAGAAAAGGCCTCCTGAAGCCTGTGTTGAGTCATAAAGGAAGGCCAGGGGTTACCAGTGGTAGGGGACAGGCGGGGAGTGTGGAGAGGGAGGAAAAGGCAACGCAGCCAAAAAGAGAAACTTGTGCAAAGTGACAAAGATAGAGCACACGGTCTACTACAGGCGGATTTCAGCAAGACTGGAGGTGGTTTCCAGATTAGATAAGAAACAGTGGGAAATGAGACTGTAGGGAGGCAAGGGTCAGATCACAAGGGGTAGGACGGGTTCCTGCTGAAGGGGAGGATTTAAGATGAAAGATACTTAAACTTGCTTAAGCACTGGGGAAAGACTTTGTTGAAGATCAGTTGGTTGCAGGTATGCTGCTTTATTTCTGCATTCTCTATTCTGTTCCATTGGTCTATGCATCTATTTTTGTACCAGTACCCAGTACAAAGCCTGCTGTTTTAGTTACTACCATCTTGTAGTATTACTTGATGTCAGGCAATGTGATGCCTCTGGATTTGTTCTTTGCATAAGATTGCTTTGGCTATTCAGATTCTCTTTTGGTTCCATATGAACTTTAGCACTGTTTTTTCTAATTCTGTGAAAAATGATGTTGTTAATTTGATAGGGATTGTGTTAAATCTGTAGATTGCTGCAGGCCGCTCGGTCATTTTAATGATGTTGATTCTTGCAATCCTTGAGCATGAGATGTTTTTCCATTTGTTTGTGTTGTCTACAGTTTCTTTCATCAGTGTTTTGTAGTTCTCCTCACAGAGATCTTTCATTTCCTTGGTTAAGAGTGTGTGTGTGTGTGTGTGTGTGTGTGTGTGTGTGTGTGTGTGTGTGTCTGGCTATTGTAAATGGGGTGGGAAAAGGACTCCCTGTTCAATGAATAGTGCTGGGAAAACTGGCTGACCATGTGCAGAAGAGTGAAACTGGGCCCCTATTTCTCACTGTATACAAAAATTAATTCAAGATGGATTAAAGACTGAAATTTAAGACCTGAAACTGTAAAAATTCTAGAAGAAAGCCTAGGGAAAACTCTATTAGATATCAGCCGAGGCAAATAATTTGTGATGAAGTCCCCAAAAGCAAATGGAATAAAAACAAAAATAGACAAATGGGACTTAATTAAACTAAAAAGCTTCTGCACAGCAAAAGAAATAACAAAGTATACAGACAATCTACAGAAAGGGAGAAAATATTTGCAAATTATGCCTTTGACAAAGGACTAATATCCAGAATCTACAAGGAACTCAAACTCAAGAAAAGAAAAGAAAAAAACATTAAAAACTGGGCAAAGGACATGAACAGACATTTCTGAAAAGAAGAAATATATGCTGCCAATAAACGCATGAAAAATGATCAACAGCACTAAGCATCAGAGAAATGCAAATTAAAACCACATTGAGATATCATCCTACACCAATCAGAATGGCTATAATTTAAAAAAACAAATGTTGGCATAGATGCAAAAAACAGGGAACACTTACACACTATTGGTAGAAATGTAAATTAATTCAACCTCTATGGAAAACAGTATGAAGATTTCTTAAATAACTAAAAAGAGACCCACCATTCAACGCAGCAATCTCACTACAGGGTATCCACCCAAAGGAAAATAAATCATTGTGTTAAAAAGACACCTGTGCTCATATGTTCATCACAGCACTATTCAAAATTGCAAAGTCACAGAGTCAACTTCAGAATGCCCATCAACAGTTGACTGGATAAAGAAAACGTGGTATATATACACGAGAGAATACTACACAGCCATACAAAATAATAAAGTCATATCTTTTGCAGCACCGTGAATGGAGCTGGAGGCCATTATCCTTAGTGAACTAACTTAGAAACAGAAAATAAAATATCACAAAACACACTTTCTCACTTATAAGCCTAAGCTAAACAATGGGTACACCTGGATATAAAGATGAAAATAATAGACACTGGGGATTCCAAAAGAGGGGAGAGGGTGAGGGTTAAAAAATTACCCATCAGGTACAATGTTCACTACTTGGGTGATGGGTACACTAGAAACCCAATCCCCACAAAAACACAATATACCCATGTAACAAACATGCACATGTACTCCCTGAATCTAAAATAAAATAAAATTTAAAACAAACAAAAATCTGGGGAAATAATAAATAACCAGAGAAGGGTTATCAATAAAGTAGAAGGAGCACATAACTGGTAGATCAAGGTCCCGAAAAGGTGGGAATCCAAAAACGCTATATGTGACTTTCTTAAATCCAGGTGAACCTTGCTCTATGTAAAAAAAATGTGATCCCAAAGTATTATGACTGGATTAAATAATGTATAAGCGCTCCTCTGGGCTTATATTGGTTGATTCTTCTAATCAAGGTTTTCACTGAGGAAATCCCCTTGATAGCTACTAGGAACCTATGATAACTTGGAGAAATAAAGAATGCTTTGGCAATATACATAAGTTAATGGTTAATGTACCTGCTTCGGTTAAGGTTTTATAATGTTGTATTTTCAAGAGTAAAGAACAGGGCTATGGCCTTCCTCTGCCCCTCTAAAACCAGCTTACAAAAGTCTGTCATTCTTGCTCAAGCCCCTTTCAGCTCCCCTGCCCCTAGAAGGCTCATTCTAGCGGTTTTGTGGGAAGTAGACAAGACTGGGGTGAGGGGCCAGTTGGAGGGATGATTCTCTTTCTAGTAGTCCACAGGAAAAGCTAAAGAGGTGGTGAGAAAAGCAGTGGTGAGAATAGAAAGAAAGGGAAGAAAGCATTCTGACATGGACTCAGCTTCCTCTCCTCTGACATCTTTTGTATGTGCCTGAATGCATACATGCATGCATGTGTGCTGTACTGAAGGTGTGGATCTCTAGCAACCGGCCAGCTGTTGACCTGGCCATTTCTTCTTCCTCTTAGGCACACAGCTATATTAATTCCCAGCCTCCCTTGCAGTTATGTGCATCCCTATGACTGAGTAGAATGTGAGCAGAAGTGATGTCATATGTAGGCTTGACTCATGAAGATATACCACTCCTCCCTGCTCTTTCCCCTTTCATGGAAGCCGGTGGAGCCCTGTTTTGAAGATTATGAACACCACAAGTTGGGAAGAGCCTGGGTCTCTGAATCACTGCCTGGAAGAGATTCACCTATTGGTCGGGAACACTTACCTGAAACTTCACTGAGCAGGATATTGCTATTGTATTAAGCCATTAATACATTAAGATTGACATTTTGGGCTGGATAAAAAAGATTTTTTAATATTTAAGAAAAATACATTAAGATTTGGGGGTGCTACCTTACATGATAAAGTCCCACTTCCTCTTGGCTTTGATCCATGGGTTCTCAAGTAGCCAGAATGGGATAGGTCAACACCCTTTTCAGCACCAAAAATATCCTAAGCCTTAGACTACTGCCCAGGCTCTGGGTGACCAGAGATCTGCTTCTCTCCCTGGAGAGTGTTTGTGGAGGAGCAACTCTTGAGGAGTTGCTAAAGGATGATATCAGACACATTGTATATGGCAGAGCCTTAGTCTCCCAGGCCTACATAGAGTACATACATTACAGACTCATTTGCAGTTGGTGAAGAGCAGGATTTAAGGCAGGCAGGGTCTCCCGATTCTCTCCATCCATGGTGGCTCGAGTGTGAAGTGCCAGGAAGCCCTGGTGGAAAGATGGCCTACTGACCTGGGAGCAGGAGACCTGACTCTGGGCCACATGGCCCTGGGAAAGTCGTCCCTTCTCTGGACTTCCATTTCTTCAGCTGGAAACTAAGAAATTGGAACAACATCCTTGCTCAAGCCCCTTTCAGCTGTGATATTCTAAAGGCTTTATCAGGGATTATGAATGTAAATGTTTACAGGGGCTGATCAATAAGTGGGCCAGGTGGGGCCTGAGGCTAAATAGAAAACAGGTGCCCCATCTCAAGGAGGCAGATGACCATTGCCATGTGGGAATGTATGCCCAGGTTGCTAGCACTTCTGGTGTCTCAAAAGAAGCCACAAATCTAGATATTTTTAACATATAATATCCTGATTTTCGAATGTTTCCAATACATTTTTAAAAATTATAAGCACTAAACAGACTAAATAAGGTATATCCATGGACCAGACTTATTTCTAGAGCTGCTAGTTTAGGACCTCTGAATAAAGAATCCCATGGCTTGGCCCCTGGGCAAGAACTAAGCCAGGTTCCAGGTCACGGACCAACTACTAAGCTTTCAGCAAGCTGGTGGGGTTTTCAGCAGAGATCCATGATGCTCTGAAATCCTACCATATGATCTCAAAATATATACACACCTCTCTGAGGCTGCAGTTTTTGTGTCTCCCCTGAGCATCTCCCGGGGGCTCTTAAATGCCCCAGAGACCTGAGCTTCTCTCCACTTCTCACTTTCCTCAACCCTGCCCCTCTCTCCCATTGCCACCTGCACTGGTCCACTGGCAACAGAGTGAAGACAGGACTGAGAGGCATTTCATGAGGAGGAAAATCAATGTTGAGACCCATGGGACTCATGGTGAGAAGGAGGGGGAGGCTGCCTGGAGAGTGGGTACCACAGGTCACACATTTAGCTCCAGTTCACCTGACAGTCAACCAGCTGGGGTGCAGAGGAGCAAGCTCTGGAGTGTAAATGAACTCCTGGTCCAGTCTGCCCAAGTCCAATGGGAGTGCCCCCCTGGCCCCATCTTCAACCTCATTAAAAACTATCTCACTCCATAGGATGCATGTGAAGCATCAGGAGGTTCTGCTGATGCCAGCACTCTGCTTCCTGGCTGGGGTGTGGAGGAGGAGTGAGGATGGTGAGTCACAGACAGCCAGGTCAGGCTAAGGATGAAACACCAGCCACAAGGCTTCCCTTCTTCTCAGCCTGTACCAGTGCTCAAGCCTGACCCAGGATCTGCTGGTCATTAATTCCATGCTTCAAAGATCAAACCTCCAAATACCTTGCTTGAATAACATTGCTTGGATGCATTTAAAAATCTCTTAGAAGCCAAACTCCAATACTTGGAGAAGCCCCTCCCAGCCAGGCACTTCCCAGTTATCCTTGGCCAGCTGGACTATTTCCCAGGGCAGACCCTGCTCCCAGTGACACACATTAACAGAGGTTTGCTGCTCAGAAAATGGGCTTATTGCAGCTTTCCAAATGAGGTCAGTGTATCGCTCAGGAGGCACCATCCCTCCTCTGAGTTCCTCAGACACCTCTCCCCTAATGCTAACTCCTAAACAGAAATTAGGAAACAGAAAAGACCCAGTTTCCACCCATGGATCTCTTCCTTCTCCCTCACCCCTCCTGTCTGCTCCTCTCCCCACCCCCTTCCTCTCCCTCTCTCTTTCTCTCAATACAGCTTCTCCTAGAGCTGAAGACTTCCTACTGATAATCCTAAGGGAATACTCATGGGAACTTAACGCGACGTTT